ATTTTTTTAACAGCATTAGAACATTTTTTTAACAGCATTCTGATCTTACTACAAATTAATAACAACAGTTTCTTTTGGGCTAGCTACAGATTTGCGTGATCAAAGACGGTCTAGTTGTCTAATAACAATTAGATATCTAATTTACATATTATTTTCATTGATTATAGGAAGGGTTTTGGCCTCCTGTTATACGACTGGACTTAGAATTGGTCCTTGTACTCTTACTGCCTTTTTTCTCTTTGGGAACTGTAAGTGGCTATGCATCTGCATTCTTCAGCATACTGACCTTAAAAAAGCCCCAAATATATGGATTTGTTGACCAGCTTGCTTATTCAGAAGTCTTATTTGTTTCAGTTGAGGCTGGACCCAGATTAAACCTTCTTCCACAACTAGGAAGGGAGCTTCAAGGTCTAAAAATTCTAAAAAAAAAAAAAAAAAAAATTTATTCTACCCAAACAGAGGCAAAGTCTTAAAAAGGAGAGAAGCATTGTCTGGTGGCTAATGGTGAGTCTGGATAACAAATGTGGTGGATCCTTTCCTTCCTTTATTGCCAGCTTGGGTGTAAACAGAGGTGTTCAAGACTGTTTTTCAGAAGTGTTGAACACCTGCTGCGTCTGCTGAAGCTGGTGAGACCTGCAGCTGCTTGCCCCACAGTTTATATGTGGTGATGACTCCTTGTGCAGGAAGGACACAGACACCTCCACAGCAAGCGGGCAGCGCTGCAGCTGATGCTTGGGGAGCTGCTTGGAAAAGAGGAGGCAAAGTGACTTTAAAAGCTTTTGGGAGATGTTTTTTGGTTTTTTTTTCACCTTACAAACTGCAAGATGAGACTGTGTCATCTAAGTGCTCCACAAGGACGTTACTATGATCTACTTCTTGTGAAAAATAAGCCTAGATTTCTGTGCTGATTGTGAAGGAGGCTGACTGTGATGAGATTACTGTTATTTAAACATCTTTATCCATGTTAACTCAGTTTCAGCCTGCATTCTTCCCAGACACTACAGTTTTTTACTCACTGTATGTTTCTCCTATCAAAATCACAGTATGGTGGAAATACATTCTAATATAGAAAAAAAAATATCAGTTGTAAATTACTGCACAAAAAAATGCATTTTTTTACTATACATAATCATGCCATATTATCTGGACTTCTTATTTTAAATGTAAAACCTGAAGCTCTAGAAATTTTCTATGCCATGGGTGGTTTTGGTTTTTTAAATGGAAAAATTTTTGCTCCTTCATGCATCCATTTTCCTGTGATGAATTCAAAAATATGAGCAAGGAACATTTCATTTTAAAGGAGATGAAGATTGAGATGTTAGCCTTTGTACTGCAGAATAGATTATTGAAATGAAAATCCAAACTACCAGTCAAGAAGAAAATGCCTTATCGTTTTTTTGTCAGTTCATATTTCACTGGTGTTAGCCTAGTATCTCACTTTCCTTCAATGTTTTGACATTATTAATGGATAAAAAGGAAATTCCTAAAATTTTGAGGAGGCAGAATAAAAAAAGATTGCAAAATTTTGGTTTTTTCCTTTTTCTGTGTATTTAATGTCTAGGAAGAGGCCACCTGAAATACTAGACTTTCTTAGTACTTTAATGAGAGCAGCCAGTTGTCATAGGGTTTAGAAAAATAAACCTGGTATCCAGCCTGTAGCCTTACCTTCCTCTGTATAATACTTTTTAAAGTGTTATAAATAACACTGAGAACTGCTCTACCATTCCCATCGATTTTTGCATGTTATAATTTTCTTATATATTTTGCAAGGTAATTTCCTAAGTGAGAATTCTCATTCTTGTGGGTGCAAATGTAGAGTTGTCCAAAAAGAACAGCTACATGCCACGAGACTCTGCTGACTTATGCAGGCTGTGGATCACACCAGGATCATGGAGAGGTGTTACACAAATTCCCAATCCAGCCAAAACTGAGGTACTCTTCATTTGAGTCTTTGTAGGGAACATGAGGGCTGTGGCCAGAAATGAATGGGTGGCTGGTTTTCTAAACGGAACCTCTGTCTGCATCTCCACCAGCAGAGCAAACAGGGCACAGCCCCTCCTTTGGCTCTGAAGATGTGCTGTGGCAATGCTTGCTTTAGTCTGGGGAAACCCTTTGCTCACCCCTGTGCCCTTGGTGGCCTCTCCCAGATCACAGCCAGGCAGCCTTTGGGACACAAATAGGTGTGCCCAAGCTAAAACAGTGTCAGGGAGCACAATGGTCATAAAAAGGATGCACAACAACTGCAAGGCATTAGCCCCATAATATCTATTAATATAGAAAAGCCTGTAAACTTTCTTGCATGTGTAACAGTTCACAGGAACATAAACTTATAAGATCCAGTGATTTTTCATGCAATTATTAGAATAATTGTCTACATACTCTCATATCCTGCCTTGGTTGCTTTAAACATTTACTCATAAGACATAAGAAAATATGATAGCTATTGCTATAATTTGCATTCCTCTTCCCTGCCTAATCTCAATATATAACAGAGAGATGAAATCAGAATGAGTTAATCTCTTATTCACAGCAAAAATCTGTACAAAATCTTGGATGTGCACAAAGTCCTTCCCCACCTTGCTATCTGACCAACACTTTCTATGATCAACCCATAAATTAACTGGTGAGGTACATTATTTATAGTCAGCAAACAAGTGACTGGTTGAAGTTTTTGCTTCTAAATTTGACTGCATTAAATTGCTATTTGGTTCCAAAATGAAACTGCTGTACAGAACAGTCTATATATGTGCTCACTATGTGTATTTTTAATAAATTTATATATTTCATAAGTATAAATTATGCACATGTAGACATGTATATATACATATATGCATACATACATTGGGAAGATTCTTTTCCTTTTCACACAAAAGTGCCTCCTTTTCCACCTCCCCCTCCTTATATTTCTATATTTGTAGTCTTTTAATTGCTGTGTTGAGAGGGGACGTGAAATAAGAGCAGGGGCCCTATCAAATAGGAAAGACACTATAAACACAAATACAGGGAAGAAGAAGGAAAAAGAGTAGGAAAGAACAAATTCCCTATTTATGTAAAATTAGATCCTATGTCTAACTTGTGACATTGTGACCCTTGTCTGGATACTCGGTGAAACCATTCAGATCACTGAAGTCACAGAAAATACATGTCATCTTGTCTTAATTTTATTTTTTTAGCAGTTTTAGCATGTCTGTGCTTCTTAGGATTGTTTAATCTCATTTTCCTTAACGAGGAACCAGAGAAGAGCTCAGAATATGATGAGGTACTCATAAAACACAAAGCAATCCTGTCTGCAGGAGCTGTGCTCTGAGTTCTTGCGTGGGGTAGATGTCACCATAGTCAAACTTTCTCAGCGCTGGTTGAAATGCAAAAATCCTTCACTTTTTGGTACTTTCTTACTCATCTCAGGATAAACCCAGTAAGTTTTAAACCATAAGATGCCTCCTAACATTTTGATACCTAACTCAGAAAAACTCACAAAAGCCTCCCCAGTGACTATGCTAGTATTGGATTGGATTTTTTCTATGTGGTTGCAGTAAGGATTTCACAGAAGGAAGTGGCGTGTTCAGGAAAACCTCAGCAGGCTGTGTTCAATTCTGAGGCATTCCCTGCCTTTGTTTGGAGTAGATTATGGAGCACACAGAGATCACTACACAGAAGGAAACTCTAAAATAATTCCTCTTTTTATTTTTCCTCCAGGTTGACACTCCTTCTCCCCTTCTTTTCATTAAATACTACATTTTGCTTCCATTATGTGCCAACACAAAGTCATGGCTTGCAGCCAAGCTGCTCAACAGCTGCAGAGCTCAGGAGTTTTGGACAGTTTTCCTGGCTCTCCTTATGCTTTGCTGTGTGATTTGGGGAAAGCTCCTCCTTGCCTCCACTTATCCATTTCCCCAGAGTAATAGAGACCATTAATCATCACTGGAAGCTGTACTGAAGCCTAGAGATGAAAAGTACTTGTTATTAATGATATTAATTTATAGGTTATACATTTTCACTTGAACTGTGTAATATATAACTACTGTTGCATTGAACAGGGCCTGGAAAAGGGCTTTTTTTTGCCAGAAGAACAGATTCCTACAAGTAGAAAATTTTACAGAAGTAGCTTCTACTCTTCTCTATCACACATATAGCCTGTATATTACTTTGAATTAAATTTCCATGGAAACATTTGTCTGGACCCAAAGTTTATACATTGTATATTTTGCTTCCTAGATCTTTCTTTTTAATTACATTTTCCTATTTTTTAATGGGACTTTGACCTTGTTTACAATTACGCATTTCCTTTTTGATTTCCCAGTCATGTATTAAAATAGCATATAAAGCTACAAACTGCAGAGGAATGTACTGCAGTTCTTTCCTCCTTTCTCGTATTGAAAACCAGAGTGACTGGTTCCTCGTGAGTTGCAATCTCATGAGAGGAAAAATCCACAAAGAGCCATAACACACACAAATCCAAACAAGCCATCTTTGACTTTCACAATTAACATGCAGATAAGAGATAGCCCAGCAGCAGTCAACATGCGTCACATATCACTGCTGCAGTGCCATCGCCTTCAGAAATCAGGGCTCAATGGCCTAAATTTAGGGTCTGTCTTAGCGACCAATAAATTCTAGATCTGTAAATTGTTTTGCAAAATGATTAAATTTCTTTTTCCTCTCTCAGCACTTTTCCCCCTAGCCCAACGCTCAATGTAGATGCGCAGCCTTAATCGGTTTAGTTGCGAGAAGATAATCTTTTTTTCTCCCTTTCTTGCTGTTGACTGTTAGCTTAAAGGCTTTTTAGCTGAAGGTTGATAATTATCACTGAGAAGAAACTAGCACATCAGGAGTTCATTTTCTATCTTAGCACTTCTGGCGCTCCTTTGAACTCCTCGCACCAAGCCCGTGTTCCCACTCTGTCACTTTCCTCCCTCCATCATAAAAAGCTCTCGGCAGCCGGCGGCTCCAGCCTTTGCTGCTGGGCAGTGGGCACCGCTTCTCCCGAGCGCTCCTCCAGCATGGACAAGCTGCACGAGACATTGATCAACATGGAAGATGCTCTGGGTTCGGAACACCCCGCCTGCTTGTCGGCCTGGGACTGGAAAAGCTCCGCTGGGCCTTTCGAGCTGCACCCCATCTCGCCCCCGCACAGCCTGTCCCCGACGCCCTCCTTCGAATCCTACTCCTCGTCCCCGTGCCCGCCGGCGGCCGAGACCCCCTACAGCAGCGGCGGCGGCGGCAGCGGCCTGGCGGGCTACGGCCTGGTGGAGTTCCCCGCCGCCTACCTGCCCAGCCCCGGGCAGGCCCGGCTGCCCAAGGGCACCAAGGTGCGGATGTCGGCCCAGCGGCGCAGGAAGGCCAGCGAGCGGGAGAAGCTGCGCATGAGGACCTTGGCGGACGCGCTGCACACGCTGCGCAATTACCTGCCCCCCATCTACAGCCAGCGCGGCCAGCCCCTCACCAAGATCCAGACCCTGAAGTACACCATCAAGTACATCGGCGAGCTCACCGAGCTCCTCAACGGCGTCAAGCGGGCGTAGAGCCCGCCGGGAGCGCCTGGCCCGGCACGCTCAGGGTCTTTACAAACAAAAAACATCGAAATATCTCCCTCGCCAGAGAACGGCGGGGCTCGGTGCGACAGGAGGACGGTGCGAGGGACGGGGAAGCGCCGCTGTACCTGGGACGCGAGGCTGGAAGGTGATGTAGGATTGCCTGAAAACCTGAGCTGCAGGTTGATGAGACAGAAGTCTTGCTCTTTGCCTTTTTTGTTGTTGTTGTTTTTTGTTTGTTTGTTTTTAATTTTTTTGTTTTAATAAGCTTTTGAGAAACATTAAACCTAGTCTGATACAAAAGTAAAAAAAAAGAGAGACAGCTGATCTTCCTAGGATTTACATATCACTGCTCTGACTGAGCCTGTTTTATAAGGACAATAGTAAATCCACAGGTGTTAAACTGAATTTTTAAAAAATGACAACAGCTTCATAAGAATACTAAGTGTATTGATTTGTAGGCACTTTAATCATAGGATAAGGAAAAACATGTGTTTAGTTCATGTATTGTCTATTTATCCACCAGTCCGCTGTACCTAAAAATGAAGTAACTGAGAACATCTCTGCATGTAAACAAATAAATATGTCATAGTCTGTATCCTGTATTATAAATCTGATTGATAGATAAGTAAAATCTAGTGATGACTGCTAAATATTGAAAATGAAATATAAGCAAACTGACATTTTGTATAGATAAACTGCTAAGTCCTCTTTTCTTTATTAATATATACAGAAGTATATAATTTTTCTGTATTTAATGTGTAAAAAAACCCTTATTCAATGCCAATAAATGATGGAAGACTTTTACATCAAATTTCTTAAACAAATAAGATTATATTGAGATGTCTTTCTCTCTGACATGAAATAAATTGATTTAGGTTTCACAAAGATGTGAAGTTTTATTCTCAAAGTGTCCTGAAAGCTAGGAGGGCTCTGGTAACCATGTAATTTTATTAAAAGCCAATCAAAGATCAGCTGTTTTCTACAGCCAGTCACAGTCCTGTAACACATGCACACAAAGGATTAAAAAACCCCAAAGAAACGAAAAAACTGGGGATGTAGTTTTAATTTTCATGACTTCGACTTCCAGGTGATGGGCACCACACCACTGAAGGTATGTGCTGCTCTGTAAATCTCATTGCCTGGCTGAGCCATAAGACTTGGCCTATGAAAGAAGCCAGAGAGGAGCAAACCCCAGGTGTGGGGAGCCAATTACTCATTTAAGTTATATGAATTTTTTCTGTTAGGGGAGATATAAGGCATAGAGCACACAGCAGCTGGAAGGTAACAGGTTTGTCTCTCCACAGATCAGCCTGTATCTGTGGGACAGCTGGTTTAGATTTGTGGATAAATCCTGTAGCAGAGAACCACAAAGCTAAAACTTCATTCCCCTTTTTTTCTCCTCTGTTTGTTTAGAAGGAATTACAATTATCTTTGTACATTTTTTCTTCCAAGGATCAGCCTAGGTTAATTCAGTCCTCTTCTCACATAGTATGTGCATATTGGGGCAATCAGAATGAAATCCAGCACTATCACAAATAAGCAACTACCCTCAAATTTATGCAGGTACTACTGTCACTCAGATGTAACCACATTTAAGCATATCCCATATGCTTCTGTTTGTAACTAACCCATGTTAGATTTGTTACAGGCTTCAGTGATTCAGCAAGAGTATAAGTAGAATAATTTTTTAAAGCCCTATAAAATTGTCAAATCAGAAATATGAGGTGGCAACACCGATGTCAGGAGAGCATTCCTCAGTATAAATCTGTGCAGTTTATCCAGATTTCAGCAGATTTTCCACATAGGGAAAGTCAATCTGAATATTTTGCAAAGGATTGAAACTGCATGATACCTTGCACAGAACTATAACTAAAAGTTTGATTCTTTCTCAAAGACATTTGTGGGAAGTCTTCTAACCTTGCCTTTTAAATGTTCTACACCTGAAACTACAGGTGGGGACTATGCTGTCCAACTATGGAAGCCTACAGGGTCATGGTTAAAACAGAAACAAGGAGTTAAAAGGCTCTGCTTTAATTGTTATTTTATTAATGACCTTGGCTGATCATCCAGCATTGCTGCCTCAGTTTCCCCATCTGCAAAGACTAACGGCCTCAGAAAGTGCTGCTCACAAGCTGGGTGATGCTGCATGGAGAAAGGCCCAGGAGAAGGTACCCTGCACCTTGGAGAAGTGGCTCAGTCAGCATTCCCCACCACCCCAGTGAAATAGGGAGGTAAATGCCCTGAAGCAGCTGAGCTGTAACTTTTTCCATGCCCAAGGAGTTGCTCTCCTTGCAAGTGCAAGGTGGAACAGCAGCTCTAGGTAAGCCATGAGGCCAGGCTGTGAGTCCCAGAAAGACACGGCTCCGTGTCAGTGAGCCAGACCTTGGCTGTGTCTACTCCCACGGCTGCAGCAGGACAGGGCTGCATCTAAGCTGACCTTGGGGAAGGAGCTGCACTGAATCACTCCCTGTGCCACAGTGGGGTCAAAGCCCACAATGCAGAGAGTTTGTTAGAATAGGTTCTGCTCATGCACAACTTAATTTGTTTGATCCTCTCTCAGGGGATCTCTCCTTTCACCTGTGGGGATGGTGGGACCAACTTAGGTGTGGGAATAGGAGGAAGAAGTAGGTTTAGTACTGCCCATGGCTAAGGTTTCCCAGGATGTGTCAGATTTGTTCCTCCCTGTCAGAAAGAAATTAATTCTTGCTCTGCCTAACATGAAACATCTCTATAAGCCCCACCTTTTGTAACTCTTCCCCTTGACACACATTTCACTGATCCAGAAAAAATTATCTGAATTACTGTATTCACAGTACAAGAGGGTACAAGGCCTGCTGCTATTAAATGTTGGATTTTGTTATTCTCAATAAAATTGAATACAGTTTCAGGTTCCTTTTCATTTTCCTTTAGGCCCAGGAGTTTAGGATATCCAAGTGATGTGAAAGGGATCAAGAGATTCCCCACCTATGGTTATGAGATGTAACTTTCAGTAGAGTAAGGTCCATAAGCTGTATTTAATTCTAACAGCAATAATCTGAAGAAAAGAGGCAAGAATTTGAACCTCAGTCTGAAAAAGTTGCACAAGTCACAGAAGTAGAGAACATCTCTCACACAGAAGCACCTTCTCTCAACATCATGTGTTAAAAATATACATGGAAATAAAGCTAAAATAGCTGAAAGACCATGGCTAAAAAATTAATTTATACTCTGTCTGATAGAGTTCAGCATGCTGAAAAGACACAGGGGAGGCAACTGGGGTTAGTCCTACACAAAATTAACTCTTTTGTCCCCAAGAGCTCACTCTTTTGCAGGTTAGCATGTCATTGAAATTCCTTAGTGACTTGGAGAGTAGAATGTGGATCCTAAAGAAGAAACCATCAGCACTAAAATATAGTTTTCTACTGTATCAAATCTTCTCAGGTACATGAAATCATACTTCTTAAGTGATATTAGCCATAAAAATGAAAGGACAGGACAGTCCTCAAGTGCTAAAGAGAAAATGGAGCAAGTCCATTATAAGATCCTCTACAGAAATTAATTAATTGAAGTGGATTTTAGAACCTCAGGAAAAGCCTTGAGATACAGAAGGTCTTGCAATTTGGTTGAACTACCAGTCTTTTACTCTCATTTTACTGATAAGGTGATTACTATCAGTTGCTGAACATAAGTACCTTTTTCTGCCTTTTAAACAAGTATTTCCACACTTTAAAATACACACTTCTCACAGAGCCAGAGATCAGCCCAGAAGCAGGCTGAGGGCAAGAGAAATGAGAAAGTTGCACCAAATCAGGTGAGAAGACGACCCCAGCAGCTGTGTCCTGAGCTGTTCTTCATGCTGAGAGTTGTGCCCTTGCCTCCTCTCTGGCTGAATTGCTGAGGGGGGACCAGGTGTAACCACAGAGTGCTAAAGTTTCAAAAGCCATGGAAAAGAGGGATTGAAGCCCCGCATCCATCCTAAACCTTTTATTAGGGAAGAAAAAGGCAGGGCAGAACAGGCAGTTACATATAATGGATTTTATACCAGTTAACTCCTTTGGTGCCGTGAGCCAGCTGTTGCTGCTGGAAGGAGCAGTTGCTGGTACCAAGGATATGACAATAGACTCTGGGTTCATTTCCTACCTCAGGGACCAGGGGCTGTTCTGGGGCAGCTGGAAGGATAAGATACTGCTCTATTTAGCGGGAGGCACAGCAGTGCAAAGGAGGAGGCCTTGGAGGTCTTGCAGGCAGGGGATTAGTCCAGAATTCAGGAGGCTTGCAGGCTTGCACAGCCTCACTCAGCAGGACAGGCTTTCCACCTGAACCCACAGCTTCTCTGCCCTCTACAAGGATTGTACAGCAGCGTTGGCTGCCAGCAGCAGCAACACCTAGACATAGACCCTGAGGGGGGCAAGGAGGTCAAATCACCTCTTGAGGACAAGAATAAGTGCCTTGGAGAGAATATTCCCCAGTGGTTAAGGGCTCACAGTGGAAGAAGCTCCCCAGGCAAGCCCCAGCTCTGTGATCCATAGAACTCGCCCCCCACCCCCCAAAGCAGAGGCGAGCCCGGGGCCGCCCGCACACACACAGGGCTTTGAAATTCTATGCTGAGGAGCACCATGTAGGTGCCAAGAGGTTTTATGGTGACACATTTGGGCTGCACATAGGTGTGCTTGGGACAAAGAAAACCTCCTGCAAATGGGCTTCAGCCAGTTCCTTGGGAGAGCTGCTTCTCTGGGAGCTGCCATATCCTCTCCGACTAAGGAAGCCAGGAGCTATGCTTCCAGCTCTGCCTAGCAGTAGCTAAAAAATGCTCCACAAAAATATAAATACACCTCCAGCTTCTAAGGGCCCAGTGACTGAGTTCTGCTCCCCAACTTATCTGCCATGCAACCACAAATCCTCTTATTGCCTTTAACAGGCAGGAAACTGGAAAGACAATTCACAGATCCCAATAAATCTTTCTATTTCTAAGAAGCTGGATCCTTCTGAGCCCCCATCCCTGATCAAGC